TGGCTTTATTCCTTTAAGTAACTCATAAGGAGTCTTCTCAACAAGAGATCTAGTCATACACCTATTTATGATGTAGCATGTAGTGTTCACAAATTCTACCCAGAATTTGTGGAGTGATTTACTAGCAAGTAGCATAGTCCTAGCCATTTCCTCCAATGTCGTATTCTTTCTTTCAACTACTCTATTTTGTTGTGGAGTCCTAGGAGAAGAAAAATTATGGTCTATGCCATGCTCATCACAAAATTCAGCAAATTTAGCAATTTCAAATTCAGTACCATGATCAGACCTAATTGATGCAAGTTGATTACCTTGTTGTTTTTGAGTTTTTCTAACAAATGTAGTGAACATATCAAATGCTTCATCTTTAAATGTTAAAATAATGTCCAAGTAAATCTAGTATAATCATCAACAAGCACCATAACATATCTTTTACCACCACTACTTAATGTTCTCACTGGTCCACAAAGATCCATATGGACTAGTTCCATCGTCCTAGTAGTGCTTACCATTTTCTTACTTTTAAAAGAGGATCTTACTTGCTTCTCTCTTGAACAAGCCTCTCAAACTTTATCTTTCTTGAACTTAATGTTAGGCAACCCTACTACCAATTCCTTGGAGACTAGTTTGTTGAGTTGGCTTATACTGGCATGTCCAATTCTCTTGTGCCAAAGGAGGGAATCATTTTCCAACACACTTAAGCAAGTGAGTTCATTATCTGAAAGTGTGGACAAATCCACCACATATACGTTATTCACTCTTTTCCCCAGCAAAACTATCTTGTCAGTGGTAAGATTAATCACAAAGCATTTTGTAGAAGTGAATGCTACCATGTTACCTTTATCACACAATTGCAATACACTTATTAGACTATACTTCACTCCATCTATCAATTAGACATTCTCAATAGAGTGATAATCATTCTTACCCACCTTTCCAACCCCAATGATCTCACCTTTCTTTCCATTTCCAAATAAGGCATTACCTCCTTTAAGGTCCTCAAGTGAAAGAAACTAGTTCTTGCTTCCAGTCATGTGCTTTGAACAACCACTATCCATGTATCATATTTGGATGTTCCCCTTCACTTGGACCTACAAAAAGACATCAGGGATTAGTCTTAGGAACCCAAACTAGTTTGGGCCCCTTTCTATAGGCAAAAGGATGAATCAAATTCTTTTTAGCCCAACTTGACAACCTATTTTTCCCTAGAGGAAAATTTTTGTTCTTTTGACTTGCTTTCTTTTTTGCAGTGCCATTCACTCTTATAGTGACCAGTGTCACCACAGTGTGTGCAAATCTTATTCTCAGGGAGTGTGAGGTATTTGCTTTTGGGATTCCACTTAGGTGCAGAGTTCCTAAAGCCAATTCCTCTTCTGTTGCTACTATGATGTTCTTGTAGCCATAAAAGTGCATCAGGGGACTTGTTTCATTTACAAGTTCTGTCTAGCTCATGCTTGACCTTGTTCAAATCCTCCTTTAAGACTCTTACCAGTTCATCCCTCTAATACAACTCATCTTTCATTTTTCCTATATTTTCTTCTAAAGTGAGTTATGCGTGATCAATTTTCTTTTTTCCTATTCCTAACTTTAATTTTAGATTTTCAAATCTAAGTTCTAGGACATTTATATATCAAGTGCATGAACTTGGTTCTTCAACACAGTATTTTTACTTTCAGTTTCACAAGCCCTAAGTTTCAGATTTTTACACTTAGCTTTTAAAATCACACATTCTTTTGACAGATATTCCTTTTCATTATTCACATGATCATATTCATCAATTAGTTCCAATAATAAATCAGATAATCTTTCTTTAGACAAAATTGATTTTATCTTTGATATGAAGGACACTTACCTCAGTTTCTTCATCAGATTCTCCAATGGCCATTGGTGCTCGTTCATTATCATCATCTGAGCTTTCTCCCCAAGCAGCGACCATAGCCTTGGTTGATCCTTTGTTGTTTCCTTTCTTAGGTTGAATATGTTCCTTCTTTCTATTTCTTCGTTCAGCTCTTTCTTTCTTCCATTCAATTTTCCACAAAGGACAGTTTTTGATCATGTGATCAGTCTTTCCACACTTATAGTAGCCACCATTGGTTTGATTTTCGGGAGCTCTTGCTTTGTTGTAGATTCCACTCCTTGAAGTTCTCTTTCCTCTCCTTAGGTACTTCTTGGAGTCTCTGGTGATCATTGTCATTTCATCATCTTCCAGATCAGAACCTTTAATGATTTTGAGTGCCAAACTCATTTCCTTCTTAGGTACATCCATTTTTATAGTTTTTCTCTTAAGTTCCTAGGTAGTGAGGTTTTCAATCAATTCATCTAGTGGGAGAGTGGCAATTTTTTTATTCCTGGATTGCAGTGATCTTGATTTCCTAAGTAATTGGCAAAACCCTAGTGAGTATCTTCTCAACTCTTTCTTCTTCAGGGATAATCCGTCCAAGAGATTTTTGTTTATTTGTTAATGTAGTGAACCTTGTGTACATCTCCTGAATGGTTTCTCCATCCCTCATAGCAAAGTTCTCAGACTGAGAGTACAGTAGAGTTCATCTAGATCTTTTCACCTGAGTTGTTCCTTCATGGGCCACTTGTAGTGTGTCCCAAATTTGCTTAGCATTGGAACAACCTTGGATTCTGATGTACTCATATGGACCAAGTCCACAAACAAGCCATTTCTTGGCTTTGGCATTCTTTTCCCACTTCTTCAGGTCATCAGCATTGCAATCAGCTCTTGTCTTTGACACATCTACTCCTTCAGCATTTTTCTTGAAGGTAGCCAATGGACCATCAATGACAATGTCTCACAACTCATATTCCTCTCCCTGAATTTGATATCTCATTCTTGACTTCCACCAAGAGTAGTACTGGCCATCAAAGAGCGGTGGCCTAGCAATGGATTACCCTTCCCAATTTCTGGGTGGTGCACTCATCTTGATCTTCTCCTAAGGTATTAACCTCTTCAAGGATAACCTGCTCTAATATCAATTGATCTTTTATACTTCAACACCACACAAGAGGGGGATGATTTGTATGGTGTCCAATTTTTCGCATGCACTAATTATAGAAGGATCTGGTTCTTTTATGTGTTCCTTATACTATAGTTGCGAAATAATAAATACAAAAATTAAAGAACACAAGTATTTTTACATTGAAAACATTTGGATTAAAAGATGAAAAAATCACGACCTATTGCCCAGTAGGATTTTTTCCAGCACTTCACTAAATCACTGAGCCAAAAATAGTGTTTACAAAACTCTTGTAAACCTAAGGATAACCTCTAACACTTTGTGGCAACCAGCCTCAAGCTATTGTGACAACTTCAAGTTAACTCTAGCTTGAATACTACAACTCAAAGTACCTAGTACAAATGCTTCTAGATAAACTGAGAGGTACAACTCAAAAGTCCTACTACAATTGAACTAGAATAAAAGACAGGCACTTGGAACTGGTTCTTCTATCTGGTTCATGTAGCTTCAGGTTCGCACATTTGAAACACACAGGAATTGCTTGCAAAATGCCTTGCTATTTTGCTCTCAACTCTTGCTTAACTTTAGCGTTTGTGCGTCCCTATAAAAGAGTGTGTGTGTGTGTGTGTGTGTATATATATTGTTAGTAGAATAAAAAATAACTAGAGTTTTAATGTTATACTCTTCCTTGGTGGAAGAGTTATAGTTATCTTCAACGTCTAACTCCTCCTTTGTCTAAGATAGAGTTCTCTTCGAGTAAGGATCCTGCTCCTTATCAATTATGCAATATTTTCGTTCAGGAGATATTTATATATAACCACTTAAGCCTATCTCCTCACGTGCATGCCTTGTGCTTGAATCTGCCTGTGTATGTGTACACTACGTATGGACCTGGTTCATGCATGTGTTTCTTTGTCATTCATCAAAACAAACTTACTCAGGCCAACATAAATTCTAGGAGTTTTGGCCAAAATATTACCTAATGTAATGTATTAATTTTAAGTTAAATTCTAGTCGTGCTTTATGCCAGACTCCAATTAAATAAGTCCTTGTTTACTTCACTTTGCAGCAAAATTAAAAAAATGAAGGAATATATGGTTGCATTTATGAAAATTTATCTTATATTACATAAGCAAGATTACACAAAAGAAAAATTCGTAATAAGAAACCAATCCGCCTGCAACAATATTCTCTGATTCTAGATTACACAAACAAGATTCAAGAGATTCAACTTTATTCTCTGTAAGGTATTGGGTTTAATAAGAAGATTTAAATGAGTACTTTTTCAACAATATGTGTAAGACATGAAAGAAAACTAAAACAAGAAAGAGAATAAATTATTTCAGAGGAAATAAGAAAGGGTTAAATTATTTCAGATGGAACCCACATGGAAAACTAAAGAAAAAAGGTGAAAAATGAAGAAGAGTGGAAAAAATAGAGAAGAAAGGTAAAAAAAAAAAAAAAGTGGTAAAAAACAAGGAAGAAATGTCGATATAAAGGAATTAAGGAGAATATTAAATAAATGAAAAATAATTTCAAGAGAAGGTTAGGCATTAGTCATTACATTCTGTCAAGTGGGCCATGTTGATGGGTTTTTTAGTTGCCGCGCGCTCCCAAGCGAGTTATTACACATATTATGCCAGGTAAACAACAAGTGGATTTAAATATGAAGGAAAATATAGTTTAAAGGGTTTTGGACATCGAAAAATTTAAGTAGAAATTGACAAAAACATACTAATAATTTAAGGGGGTTTTAGATATTAACTCTTTGGACAATTCGAGTAGATTACTAGGTTAGTACAGGCCGAATACCATTGTACTTGTGCTTTCATATGACAGATAGATCATGCCACTCTGATTTATTTTCTAACTTGAATAGAAAAGCAATTAACCATTTCCTTAAATTTAGCAACTGAATCAGATCTATGGTCTTTGAGCAATAGTAATAATTAAAAAAAAGACTAACGAATAAAGTAGTATTGACTATGACTACAAATTGTAGTAGTAGTAACATTTGTCACAAACTCTTTAGCCAATACCCTTATATTTGGCATATATCAGTAGTTGAAAGAAAAGTTGAGATGATGGACTTAACACAGATTTTTATACTATTGTCTTTAATGCCAACTCAAATACTATGTGTTAAGAGTTGCCATTTTCCAGCCATTTTTAACTTTGGTGACTCGAACTCAGATACTGGTGGTCTTTCAGCAGCATTTGGACAAGCACCTTATCCCCATGGTGAAACTTTTTTTCATGCCCCTGCTGGTCGCTTCTCAGATGGCCGTCTCCTCATTGATTTCATTGGTAAAATTTCCTTTTTTTTTATTGAAAAACTTGTGTATGGAACACGAAATTCCATAGATGTTACAGAGGTTTTGTTTTAAACTCAAATGGTCCCTTAAGCTTAAGGGTAGCCCGTTGGTCTAACTTAGTTTTAAACTTAAAGGATCAAATCTGCTCAAGGTAATATAGGGACGAAGGGGATCATAACTCTTCTTGAGATAAAGGGCATGTTTTTCTTTTCTTGTTTGTTCAGCTTCTGATCCTTTTTTGGTTCTTGATTTACGAATGGTCAGCTGAAGGCTTAGATTTGCCTTATCTTAGCGCGTTCCTCGATTCGATTGGTTCCAACTTCAGCCATGGAGCTAATTTTGCCACAGCAGGATCAACAATTAGACCTCAAAACACAACCATGGCTCAGAGTGGATATAGTCCAATTTCACTGGATGTACAGGGTGTTCAATTCTCAGATTTTCATACAAGATCCCAGACAATTCGCCTAAAAGGTATTACTAGTAGTATTCTTAAGCAAAACAATATAGAGTGTAGACAAAACAAGTATGATTCATTTTGTGATAGGCTAAAGGTTTTGTTTTTGTGAACAGGAAATATCTTTGGCCAATTGTTGCCAAAGGAGGAAGACTTTTCTCAAGCATTATATACCTTCAATATCGGCCAAAATGATCTCACTGCTGGCTACAGACTTAATATGTCCACTGAGCAAGTAAAGGCTTATGTTCCTGATTTACTCTCTCAGTTATCCAATGTTATAAAGGTCAGTGAAAGTGAACCAAACTATAACAGTTGACTTCTCAAGTTCCAATAGCTTTTACCTATCTACATTAGTTGTTTACTTATTTTATTTACTGGTTTTATTCATTTGCTATAAATGCAGAAAATATATGCACAAGGTGGAAGATCATTTTGGATTCACAACACTGGACCAGTAGGTTGCTTACCATACGATTATGGACCGCTTTTTGATCACAGCGGCACAAATTGATAAGTATGGATGTGCTGATCCTTTCAATGAAGTGGCAAACTACTTCAACCTTCAGTTGAAGAAAACTGTTGTTAAGCTCAGGAAAGAACTTCCTTTAGCTGCAATCACTTATATTGATGTTTATTCGGTGAAATACTCACTCATCGGTCATGCAGAGAAGCTAGGTAATTTTATGATCTAACTTACCAAGAACCTTGAACTTGAGTCCTTTTAATTTCTTTCATGGCATAAACTTCTAGAATTTGAGTCTTATGTAAAGAAATCCCTTGCAGTAGTTATTCTTATACCAAGATTTATATGTTACGGATATATAACTAGATATGCATATTATAGATTCTATATGAAATGACAGGATTTGAGGACCCATTTTTAGCTTGTTGTGGTCATGGTGGGAAGTACAACTATAACAGATTCATCAAATGTGGAAGTAAGAAGGTGTTGAATGGAAAAGAGATCGTGATCGCCCCATCTTGCAAAGATCCATCAGTTCGGGTTAGTTGGGATGGAACTCACTTCACTGAAGCAGCTAATAAGTGGATATTTGATCAAATTGTTAACGGCTCGTTCTCAGATCCTCCAGTTCCTTTGAGTTTGGCCTGTAACAGAGTTAACCATTGAATTTTGTACTCTTTAACATACTGTCTTATGTTTCCTTTCTATTTGACCTTTATAGATGGAATAATCTCCTGTGTTTCATGAATGTCATTTGACTGAAACAAAAGCTTATTGATTCACAATGTTGGGGGTACCACTGTTCCACTTTGCACCTTGAGAGTTTTTGCTTTCAATAGTTTGGGGATTCATGACAAAGAGAAATTTCCATGAGAGATATACAACAGCTTCTTGTTTTTCTTTTTTCTCTTTTATTCTTAACGGCACCTTAGAATTAGAATTCTAAGGCTCTGGTTTTAAAGGACCCAATAAGGAGGTATAGAGATGAGGCTTGGCGTAACTGGTAAAGTTGCTGCCATGTGACCAAGAGGTCATACGATAGACCCTTGTGGTCAGGCCCTTCCCCGGACCCCGCGCATAGCGGGATCTTAGCGCACCGGGCTGCCCTTTAGAGATGGGGCTTGAAATCACCTTTGGAGCTTGTGACAGTCTAATTTGAACAGATGAACCAATATTATTCTGCTACTTTCATTGCCTCAACTTGCATATGAGCAAATTCCTGTGTCAAATTGTTGTACATTAGAATAACTAAAGCTCTTTAAATACTTGGCATTCTCAAGAAAGTCATGTGTAATTATCAATCTCATAGAATCACCATGGGAACAAATTGTTATTGCCATCTCTGCCTATGTAATCTACAAGGAGTCTTAGAATGACCTATTTTCTATTTTCTATTATCAATCTCATCTATTCACCTACTACATAGCATACACTCTCCTAAAGTCAAAATTTATATAAATCTACTTCATCTCAATCAAATTTAACTTCTTAGTCAATACATAAAAAGGTTGGGCATGAATATATCAGTCAATACGATTTTCCACAAGTTCTTCCATGTCCATTGTTTAACCCCAAAAACACTAGAATAATTGCTACTAACAAGCCTTATGTGTGCTGTATTTGAGATACATATTTGTTAATTGCATTCTCGATATTATTGGTGCATCACATACTTTATTCTTTTCAGTCCTGGAAGTGATTGTTTTACAAGCAAGAGAAAACAATAAATGTCAGCTATGGATATTATTGAAAATTAGTTAGTTAGTTGCTAGGGTCAACGTGTAAATACTAGAAGTTAGTGGTGCTTATTATTATTTTAGTGTTTTCTAGTAATTACTTTGTATATATGTAGCTGTTTACAATTGTTAATATCATTTGAGCAATTCCCCAAACAATCATCTTCTGCATTTAGTCGTCTTCGGCATGCTTCCAATTGCACATCTATGGCTAATTCTAACATGGTATCAGAGCAATGGAGACCGATTCATGTGGATACCTAGTCTAGTTCAACTAGTTTCTTACTCAATTCAAGTGCTTGTCTTCGATTCAGTGAAGTTTTTTTTTTTTCAATTGTGAAGCTCAATGCGACAGTGAAAATTGATCATACTCATCCATTTTTTCTCCAACCTTCAGATACACCTGGCTTGATTTTAATCCCAATTCAGCTCATAGGTTTCAAAAACTATTGATTGTGGAGTAGATCGATGCGACTTGCCTTCAAGGCTAAGCGGAAGCTAGGGTTTGTTACAGGGACGTGTGCTAAAAACTCGTTCAATGATTCTTTTCATGAGGAATGGGAAACTTGCAATGCAATTGTCCACTCCTGGTTTATGAACTTAGTTTCGAAGGATCTGCGTAGCGGGATAATATATGCATCAGATGCTAATGCGGTCTGGGAGGACCTCGAGGAGCTTTTTGATAAGGTGAATCGAGTGCGCATTTTCCAATTGCACAGAGCAATTTCGCGATTATCACAAGGATTAGATTCAGTGGCCGTGTATTTCACCAAATTGAAGGAACTCTGGGTAGAGTATGATGTGTTTAGTGTCATCTCCTAAATGTGGATATGCAAAGTCAAAAGAGCGTGTGACACCGATGACCACAGTACAAAGGACAAAGCAAAAGACTCCAAGAAAGCAGACTAAATCATAAATACGAAAATTTCCCTACAAAGGGGCTGGCTTCAACAACCCATAAGGGACAGCTGGCCTGAATGACACCGATGACGAAGCTCAAATCTTACTAGACCAGACCTGTATGTATCGCAAATCGCAATAAATATTTAAGCTCCTGCCTCTTTGTTTTTTTTTTCTTCAAAAAATGGTTAAGCTTTTCTTCTTTTTATTTTGTCTAATAATCTCTACTAATGATTGAAATTTACTAAATTTTCTCATGCAGCTATGTTTGAATTCTTTTCTCCGACACAAACTTTTTGGCATATAGTTTAGGTTTTGATAAGGTATATTTTAGGTCTAGAAGTATAAAAGCAAAATTATTGGA